CAACCAGTTCCCATGATAAATCCTTATTTAAGTATGGTTAAAAAGCTAGTTTTTTCTTTTTAATTACCACTTTCAAAGAACATGAATGGTATGGCTGTTTTTAATCTATCTAATATACAAAATTCTCGTGTCACAATGTTGTTTCCCATACTTCCATAGAAAAGTCTAGTCTAGTACAAAGATATGAACGCTAGTGAAGAAATATGTAAGTACTACTAAATTATCACCAAGAATACATTACATATTAATGTTATTTTGACAATAAAATACCCACGTTATTTTGACATTTAGGTATAGAACATTTTTGAGTCATTTAAGTTGCCTCCTTCATACAACTAACCAAATATGACGATAAAGTGAATAAGGCTTCTTAAGGTGTAAACTGTCAATTGTTATTGTCAGACGGACTAATTCGCACTAATATTAATCGCAAGACTTCAGACAAGACACTCTATACCTACTTCGTTTCAGAAAAAATTACAAAAACTACGTCAATATTATAAGTCAGTATATTGTCAAATTAAATGTCAGCTCACTCTCCCAGATTTGACAGGTCAAGCCATACAATTTGACACATGTGAGATAGTTCGCGCCTAAACGTGTCTATAAATCCTACTGTCTTGTCCCCAATAAAATATTGAGGAAGGCCCCATACAATTCCAATTGTCTTGGATAATGACTACCGTTGCATTGTATTAAATACTAATAGGCGTAGAGGTCAAGGTTTAAAAACAATTGAATAGTGACGGTTTTTGCTTACCTCAACAAATTTTGTTAATATCATTATATTATCACGGTCATATTACGCGTTTGTACCATGATTTCATTAGCTGTGGGTTGATTTTATAGCTGAATATTATTTGTCTATTCTGCTACTTCGAGAATATAAACTTCTTATGGCAGTGCTTCATAGCTTTATGAACATAGATTTTCTCTAATTGATTGTCGCTTGCTTCGGAAGTGGGTGCATGGACTTGGATAATATACAAATCTAAATTAATTATACTGAAATTTAAAATGTAGACTCGTTCTGATATAAATACCAATGAAAGTCTCAATGTATTGTTTCAGTCTATTCCATAAAAGAAACTCTACGCCTAAGTGTCCCTTTCTTTCACCGAAGTAACAAAATATATGTTCACTATCCTCTTCAATGTTATATCCTTCTCTTCTTATTTCTGATAAGACAAGACTTCGAGAATACAAAGGGATAATAAGACAAATAGTATTACTCTCCCTAATGATAACAATTCTAAAAGGCTCAATCTTTCTCTCTCTTTCTCTCGGTCTTTCTCTCTCAAAATAACTAGATAAGATAAGGTAGAATAAATAAATTTAAATATTAAGTTTTGTCTATTGTTTTTTTACAGGATGCAAGAAGAGGACTCCCTAAAAAGTTTAAAAGCGTTTGATCTGTTTAATAGAGAGGATTATATATAAGAAATCTTAAAAACACGCAACAGTCTTAATTATCTATATTAAAGTCGATACAAACATGATTTATCTCTTTTTAGTTATGATCACGTACATCTGTAGCTGTTATAATGTTCACGCATTTCTTATCGCTTGGAGAAACTAATATATTATAATTTTTATCTATATTTGTTCTCTATTTATTTTCTATATGTCCAAATATTTCTCAGAGATATATAGGCAAGAATTTGGTAGGTTTAATTGTCAGAAGCTTTTACAAAGCAAAAATTTTTCAAGTATTGTTTTTTCTATCTTGACATTTGAATTCCAGAAACATCGTTTAAGCAATTTGATAAGTCTGTTTACTGAAATTATGATACAATTATTTTCCGAATCGATAGATTTTGAGATAGTCAAACTATAAAGATACAAACTCACATAAAAATTACGCTAGCCGAATTGGATTTCGAATCTACAGCTTCCTTCGTATCTTGGCATGTCTCTGAGGTTCCAAAAATTAACACTAAGACAGCGAACGCTTATAACAACAGTCAGCTACACTCTCAAGCCATGCGCTTACACACCCATTCACACACTCACACAATCACGCATACGTAATGTATTATAAGACTTGTGTTTGATTAGTTGTAACACTAAAACGATTTTAAACATGTACCAAAATGGATAATTGTTATCTAGATACCCACAACAAAGGGATTTCCTAGTGTTCCCCACACTAGCAATGATGAATTTTGTCACAACCTATTTGTCATGAATAAAGTTTTTATTATTATTGTAATAATACATGCATGCTTTAGCAACTCAATTCAATCTTATCCAGAGCTTTGACATTTGATCCGTTAATATTCAGAAACAGGACGTCACGTCACACACGTCACGTCACACACGTCACGTCACACACGTCACGTCACACACGTCACGTCACACTTCAAATTAAAATGAATTATTTATAACAAACTACAACAAAAAGTCGTTTTTTAAACGTTTCTATAAGAAATATGAATTCAATTGAAAATAATGAGTGAATTCGGTGGCGATTAATATGCAAAACAGTGACTTTAAAATGACTTCCTCACACGGCCCTGAAAATCGCTTCCACCTATGAAAGATCATTATAATTTATGAATGCCACGTATTCATGGCATAGCCTAGACCTTCATAGAGCAATAAAATCGTCCCAAATATTTGCATTGAAAAGTGACACCAAACCTGTTAAGGACGCGGTATTCTCAACTTGTACTCGTAATTATGGCGCGTACTTTCGAAAAGCATGACCCAGCGAAACGGAAACGCAAGTAACATTGAAGAGGCCTCATGGAAAGGTCAACAGCCACTTTCATTCTTACTTTATGCTGTGAATTTATTCCTGCGTATATTTCTGTTTTATATATATTACGAGCTGCCCCCGCGAACTTCGTTTCTCCTTAATGCCTAGCCAACCCAGAGACTGTTCGGTTTTTCGGAATGAAAACTTTTGAGGTTTTTCTGTGATTTTTCTCCATATTACGTATAAGCCTCAGAGTTAGTTTAGTTAAGTTAACTAACAAATAAAACATAGGGGTTGATCGTAGAGGGTAGATGAATTAAAGGTCGTATGTTTTTTGTATGCTGTAGGTATTATAAAAAAAAACAAATAAAATCTGTCTAAAAAATTAAAAAATTTTTTTAGAGTGGACACCGCTTATCACTTAGGGGTTATAAAAGATATATATAGTAGCCGATTCTCAGACAAAAATTCATAAGAATTGCCTCACGATGCTTTCCTTCAACGTTCGTGTGAATGTTACGTGCGCACACATAGACAGAAAGTCAGTTGGTGCACAGCCGGGGATTAAACCTACGAGTCGCACGCTGAAACCACTAGGCCAACACAACTCTAATACTAAAATTTTGGTTATAGTCTGCGTTTAACTAGAACAAAGTTTACAATCGTTAAATGTTTTTGCATATTTTTTTTGTATGTTTATACATTGACGATGTTTTTTAATAATCCTTGAATATTTAATGTTGAACAATTTTAAATTGTCTTCCTTTGTTGTAAAAAAATACTCCACAAATGTTATGTTTTACAAGCTAACCTCATCCCTAAAGACCAATGGAATTTTTTTGTGCGCAATAAGCACTTGCTCCTTCGGGAAAGGCAATGTCATGGCATGTGTCAGACACAGAAGGCTAATCATCAACTAGTCTATGAAATAAAAATTACCGAAAATGCAATCTGAGGCCAAGAATAGAGCTGTAACGCCACTGGATAATTATTAAGTCTACATTTTACTAATAAGTGTCATTGCGATTTAATCACAAATATTACAACGATATTGTTATAAAACGTGTACTACGGATAGTTACCATGGTTACGATGTACTCTATGTAAAAAAATTGTTATCGCTATCGAACATCTATATCAAAATAAGGCCGGACTTAATGGCCAGCATTCCGTGTAACAGAATTAAAGAGAAATGGAGGTACGTAGTAATCATAGCATCAAACATAACAGTAATTTGCTATTCTCACTTATATCGCTCTAAGACTTCTACAAGTCACTATTCGCTCCAATAGTTGTTAAATCAATGCCATGAAACGCAATTAATCTAAACACTTGTTGCATGTCGAGTCATACACACTTTTGATACAGATTCAAAATACATTTTATAGTTACATGTTTTGAGAATCAATTGAAATGAGAATTAATTTATTTAAGTTACAATCTATCTGTTCGAAAATACTTGACAATTACGGTGAACATAAAATTTGCAAAAAATATAACACTTTCAAAATACAGCTTTTTTTTAAAAGTTTTTATTTAGTAATTTGTAGAATACGCATTCGCGTAAGGCGGATTAGGTACCCGATAGGCAATAAGTGCTTAACAAATCATTATTTGTTTAATTTAAAATTCATATATCAATCTGTGAATTCTAATACATATATATCCATCTCAAACTGAGTAGCGTGTAGTTAAGATTTGATTAGCTTTTTACAATCCGTGTGTATTTTTGTAGTAATTTAATTTATAAAAATTTTTGTTTGTACACTAAGTGTAAATACTCGTAGCTAAGTAGAAAGCTTTGGTTTGTTTGAACGCGATATATCAAAGCCATCTAGTGTAAAATAACAAAATCGATTTCAATTAAAATTAACGATATAAACCAAAATTGCTATATAAATCCATCAGACCTTGTTTTGGCCTTACAATGTTTTTATAGTATTCACGTATGTATAATAATTAACACTGTTGTGTAAAAACTAAGGAAAACTTTTCCGTGTGCAGTCACGAAATGTACGTAACGATTTACGATTATAACTATTATTGTATACTTTGAATAGATATGATATTGTCTTGAGACAATTTTTATTAGAATCTTCAAAATATGAAATTAATGCAAAATTTCTCACTGATTCACAAACTTTGCACCACTAAAAGCGGAGAAAATATTACGAGCTTCATTTGACATTTTAAAACGGCCATTTAATTTAACCCCTTAGCTTCCCCCCTTCGATGTATACGCCTGGCTGGTTGATAAAAAATATATCGTGTTCAACATAGCTGAATATTCCAATATTGTTTAACTTTTATTAACATATACACCATAATACATTCCGTAGTTACTTCCGTAACCAGGAATGTTAACTGAACATTAAATTGCTTATAGTGGAAAATTCTTTGAAATAAAATTTACAACTATGATAATGGTACGTATAGAATTTATGTCTAAATTAAAATAAGATTTAAATTATATTCTATCCTTCCATAAAGATTATAGATGTTTTCCGTTACAGTAGTGAGTATTAAACATTTTTAAATTTATATTATTGGCAACACTGTTCACATTTTCGTTTTACTTAAAATTTTTGGTAAAAATCTTTAGTTTCCGAGTAAAAAAATTCTTTGAAATCATAAAATACAATTCCCAACTAAATGGTACAAAGAATGAATATCTATGTCTAAAGTAAAATCGTCATTTGATGCACTGACATCCCCTTAAGTCCAATTTAAATTATAATCTATACTACCAAATAAAGATTATATTTGTTTTCCACTACAGTAGTGCGTATTAAACGTTTTTAAATTTATATTATTGGCAACACTGTCCATTTTTATCGTACTGACAAAATTCTTTGAAATCGTAATATACATTTTACAACTATAATGGGTCAACAGAATTTAACTCTGTCTAAAGTAAAATCATCATTTGACGCCTTGACATGGTTTAAGTCCGATTTAAATTATATTCTATCCTACCCAATATATAAATGATATTATTGATCATTAAACAACGTTCTAAAATTTTTATAATTGGCAACACTGTTCATTTATGTCTTACTGTCAAAATTGTTGGTATCTTCATATATTAGAAATCTTAATAGTTTGCTGTAAAGAAAAAAAAACAATGTAAAAACTCACCGGAAGGAGGTCGCTCCTTGGGATAACAGATTCGGAACAAGCCACGCGTCCTCGTGTAGAAATAGTACTTGCTGTTCAGGCTCTCAAGGATTGCTTTAGAGTTGATATCTGCGGTGTTCTCCGTCACGTACGTCTGGAAAAAATGTTCAACTCTATTACCATTGCATTAAGGGCGAAAATGGTAGGAATGTCATTCAAGACGCCAAAGACAAAAGACGAAGAGTTTCTTTGGTGACAGTAATTAAAAATCTCGTCCTACGAGGTTGTAAGCTTAAGTTTTCGTGATATATTAGAGAAATCTATATATATAAAAGAAAAATGGTCTTCGTTTGAGGCTCCTTCACGCCTAAACCACTGATGATCTTCATCTTTTCCTAGATGGTTTATGGCTATTTATTTATTAAATTCACCTTTATTGCTGTTTTACTTTTATGAAAATTTATCAAGGATTCACGGGAAAATTGGGAGGCTTTAGAACCTCTAATATTTTAAAAATATTTTCGAAATATTTCAATTTTCTTAGGGGAAGTTAAAAGAAGAATAATAAAAATATGAAAAAAATAAAATAATAAACATAAAATTTATTTTAATTTAGAGGGGGAAATGTAGACAATATACAGAAAGATTATATGTATACACATAAAATAATTTTGACACAATAGTGTCAAAATTATTTTATGTTTAACTGTTATTATCCATTTTGGTTTTCTTTAGCAATAATTACAAAATTATAATCAATTTATTTCCAAAAATAGGTTCCTTAAAACACGTACGCCATGCTTATATATTACTTTTATTATGCTTAATATAAAATAAATCAGTGGCGCTACAACCTTTTTAGGTCTGGGTAGAGGGGTATATTTGTTTCATGATTCACAAATCTAATAGGCAAGTAGGTAATCAGCCCTCTGTGCATAACACACGCCGTCGCCTTTTTGGATTGAAGGCAAGCCGGTTTGTTTATAATGTGTTCCGTCACCGTTCGAGCGAATGTTAAATGACATTTTTGTGATTTTAATACTATACTATACTTTTTTGTGGATTTTAAAACTATGTTTTTTTATTTATTAGTAATCTTAAAGCCAAAATAGATTACATAGATAAACAATATATATATGAAACAGATAACATAAGTACAATTATAGACGTAAAATAAAAAAAAAACTGAAATTTAACATTAAAGAAACTAATTAATACCAAATATTTCAAAGAAAAAACTAAATTGTTACTGCTAAACAAAGTCAACGTCTTCCCGCCTCTTCAAATACTTTAATAACATCCTCTTTGGTGAGGTGAAAAATATCAAAATCCTCATAATTAATTATAATATCTGAGGTATAGAAATCAAGTGATAGCAATGTAATAAGTCATTATGCACAGCTGCAGCTAGGTTGTAGATTCGTTCCCCAAGGTCCCCATCAAATTGGTAACCAGTTTCGTTCCTACATTCCAACAACTAGAGCTGGCTCAAATTAGGATGAACGACATTCCTAGCAATGTGTGGACAATATAATTTAACAGTATCTTTAATAGGCATACGTGACTTTGCACAAATGTTTATAATATATAATGTTAAAATGAGAGCACATTTGAATTTTTTATGTATATAACATTTACTCCACGGGTAGAACAGAATGCGACGAACCTATAGTTCATAGTTTTTAGTTATATAGGCTATATATACTTTCAACATAGTAAATAGTCAAGCCTTGAAAGAGGTTAGTAGTATGGTTAGATGGATTAAAAAGTATCGCGAAGACAACTGAATTTTGAATAAACTGTTTTATACGGTTAATAGAGAATTAAACAATTTAGGAAAATACGAATATGAATGCGATTTTTGAAGTTATACTTCTTTAGGCGCGTTATGTAAAATTGATGAGAGTGAAATTTTACTATGCGCGCGCTCCGTGACACAAAATTAACAGAATGAAGTTGCCCACGGAAGATGCTACGGCATTGGACATAATTTAAAAACAACATTCGAATAATAATAGAATTTATGTTACACTTAATGAAAGAGAATAATAATAAATATTAATTTATTTAATTTTTCAAAAGTAAACTGAACTTTATTGACAATGACTCCTTTTCCAGTCTTTGATTATTTAATTGTAATTAATTATTTGCATGCAATCAAAAACTATTTTTAATAATGCCAAAGATGTATAACTTCTTACGCGCGTACGTAAGTACAAGCACCCTTTTTTTAAAACAAAACCACCTCAAATTCAATAAAATTGAGAGTGATATTTAGTAAGGAGAATTATCGCGAACTTATAACTCCTGTATGTCAAAAACGTTATATGTTTGTCATAGTCTGTTTCTGAATTTTATCTGATCTCTAGTCTGGACTTAAGCTGAGTGTTACTACTTTTGTCGGATTTCTAAGCGCTACGTCTCGACTCTGAATCTATATCAAGATGAAGAAAAAAAATCTGAATTTTTTCTTAAGATCTGTAAGGAGCTGGACAAGCCTAAAATCGGAAAGGTATTTAAAGGTGCGTTAATCATTGCGCAACTCTAAAATTTATCGCAATTAAATCCAGTTTTTATAACGATTATGAGGTACTCTGAATGTTGATCGACACTAGACACTTGAAAATCTTCCTAAATATATACTAATATTATACAGTTGAGGGTTTTTTTTATTTATAACGACAGGGGGCAAACGGACACGAGGCTCACCTGATATAAACTGCTACCGCCGCCTATACCACACATTGGCAGATAGCTCGCAAGTGCGTTGCCGGCCTTTAAGAATTGTTACGCTCTTTTCTTGAAGGACTCGATGATTTACTTTTATGATTCAACGCAATGATGTCCAAAACCTATGATTCTAACTGAAAATATTTTTTGTCTTGAAAAGTCAAACGGGTATTTATTTTGTAAGTATGTATTTTTATTCAACAATTACAATTAATTTACAAGCCTTTCCGGTTCCGGATATATTTATCATTGAAGCTCTAAAACGTTACAACGACAATTAGCATGTAAGTTCCTACTTTTTTATTTTCATAGACAATAGCATTTCTCTCGTACGGCGTATTGTTGTCGTGTACGTAACATTCTCTGTACTTCCTCACATTAGTAGTGATGTTACCATAGTTAATATTACTTTTGGCAATGCAATACATACTTTAGCTTGACTTGGTTTAATTATGTCTTAGCCTTGTTTCAACATTCAAAACTGTTTCATGTTTGTATGTTTCATTTTTATGAAATGACCGTAAGATACAGCGGTGCTCCAAGTAGTCCATGATCACACACCGACAGCGTTAGAAGGTGGGGAGACCTAAGGAAAGGGTCTTCCAGAAAATACCACAAAGATCCAGTGGACACGTTGAGACATAGCGAGGCAATCAGGCTTAGGTAGCTGCTTAGGTAGTAGACTGAGTGAGTGGGAACTTAGAATGCCTGTACGTCGTCAGTCGTATTGTTGGTAGGATTAGCAAACAGCGATGAGAAAGGCAACGGAAAACCATCACATAATTTTTTTTGGAAATTATTATGCTCCGAGTGTGGCCATGATGATCGCCAATCTTCGAAAGGAGATGGCACTTTAAGAAGAAGAAATAAAAGGCGTTTTAATTGCGATGTATCCTTAAGGATCCCTAAATATCGATTTTCCTGCGAATATTTGACGTACACATTACCCATTTTCGTGTAGGCAGAAAAAACCTCAAGTTCAGAGATAATTTTAGGCGTGACCTGTAACTCCCATCTGTCAAAAGAGCAAAGGATTTTTCCTAGAGAGTGTTTGAAGAAAAAGTGTTACATGTATTTAATTGTAATTTTTCAATATAAATTGAATGCATGTATGTCAATTCTGACATGAATATGATAAGTTGGAATAAAATTACAATATGTAAATCGTTAAATTTCAACTGTAAAGTAATGTTAGCGAGTGATGCTTTGCGTACTGTTTCGCGTAATATAGGCTACTCGAGTAGGCTTTGTCATCGAGATTCAAGGAATGTTCTCAATGAAGACGTGAGAACTCAGATATTGTAGAAATACGAATTTCTATTACGTGTTTGGAACTTCGTTGGAAAAGTCGGATACACACGTAAACCGAAAATAATAATGTCAACTACTCCGGCACGGGGCAGACAAAATAATATTTTTTACGACCTTGTTGGCTTAAGTTTTTCCATGTGGTATTATTTTGCTATTAAACATAATTAAAATTCAAAATACACACTTTCATATTCTTAGCCAAAATTACAAGCAACTTTCTAAATATTGATTTCAATTAAGTGTTACGAATATTAAAAAGAATTAAGTATTCCGACTGAACATTTTGTCGAAAGGAAAGTAAGTATGGCCAGCAATAAAAATTTCTTCTGATTTTTTTTCTATTTTACCGGAGTATAAAGATTTTATTACATTAAAATAGTATTTTTTGTTTTTTAACAGTTATTTATCTTAAATAATTAATACTAACAAAAAAATTATTCTTAAATATAAGTAATTAGGTGAATATATATAGATACTTTAAACAGTAGATATTCGATACGATATAGAAACGGGTAGAAACAATTATTTTTATTCTTCATATACCTCACAAATCCGCTATTGTATCAAGATCTGTTGTGTAAAGGATTTCTTGCTCACAGCTCTATTGACGCGTCTCTTGATGAGAGGACGTCTGAGCGATCAGTTACGGTAGTACGAGGTTCATTGAACGAAGTTCATTGTACTGTTCAAAAGACTAAACGCTGCCCTATAGGTAGTACTAACTTAAAGCTTGAAAGTTTTAGTACACTGGATCGTGGTGGTTTATTTCTCACACACTGAACGGATGAAGATTCAGACTAACTATGACTCCTGCCTTGCGAATATGTAACTAACTTTTCGAACTCTCACGACTGATTTGAGTGCGACCGCCGCTGCGAAAACCGCTGTGTGAGTTCGAAAAGTGAGTTACAGAATCGCAAGGCTGTATGTCAATAATCAATATCCTATACGTATCAAACGTGTCAAACACGGCAGTCGGTCTTACCGAGTCTAGACTCTGATTTTTACCCTAAGCTTTTTGCGCTATTGTAGGTCAGTATTAAAAAGAGAAATTAAAGATTTAAGTTGGCGCGTGGTAGATAGTACCGGTAACTCTAGAGCTGGTGCTTTCCT